ACAGCTGTGCCCCCTGGAGAAGCCCAGAATGGAGCAGAAAGAAGGAAGACCGCTTCCGAAACAGAGGTGCATCGGGACGGGGCTGGAGTCGAAGGGAGAGTACTTTGTAAATTACGAAGCACGAGCAATGGGGATTCGTCATGCCTGCAGCTGACTCGAAACTAGTGGCAGCAGCTGTGTGGCTTAAACACTGTCGCTATTCTTGTGAGACACATAATGTCTTAAGAGTCTGGGGCACAGGGATTGGAAGTCATCAGGCTCTCCAAGGCCAGAACCTGTTTTCCCCTTACCAGGGCAGTTTCTACTTAAACCAGGTGTTCCCAATGCCCTTCACCGGCAACCTCCGACTAGCCTTTCCCGGAGTTTCCACAGGAAGACGCTGCACAGAGACTCTGGCAGTTCCCAGTGTATCTCTGGGTCATTGGCACCATCAGCTCTATCATTCTGAGCCCCCAGCATTTATCTGCTCATCCAGCCAGCCTCCTTCAGGCTCAGGACGTCGTGGTCTCTGGTCCTGCCAGGGGCTCTGGCTTCTCTTGGCCCCAACCCCACCGGTGCTTCTCACCCGGGGCCATGACTTCCCTTGATCTCCCTCCCCAGGCCCTACTCAGATTCCTGCCTCTCACAATTGTACTCTTGCCTTCTGGTCCCAGGACTCCCAAGGACCTGTTGCCCCCAACACACAGGTGTGGCATGGAGGACAAGAATGAATTACCTCTATTTCTGCTTTGAAAGTTTTTCTCACTCAATCTCACCTTCTTTTGGTTATTTTTCTCTTCATAGAGACAGAGGGAGGAAGGCTTCTTTCATTTGCTTAAACTAATTGTATCATTAACTCTACATGGACTAAAAAAAAGATTAATTCTATTCTCTAGTAGCTTCAGACCTGTTCCTTCTTGCTGTCATTCTCCAATCTATGCGAAGAAAAAGATGTTGGAATAAATGACTCTTTTCAAGAGAGTGGAGGCGGTGGTTTATAGTTTGGCCCTGAAAACTAAGGAAGCCCTTCCAACACCTCCCCCTCAAAAAAACACCTTCCCGCTAAACGAGACTGAGTTATAGAACGTGCCTGAGGATCACGCAGGTGACGTGCAACAAAACAAGACTCAGAAGTAAGTATCTCCAAGAACCCCTAAGACAATTCCTTTTCGTCTTCCCGACCTCCTTGCCTGGATGTTGACCCATGAAAAAACAGGACTCTTAACAGCGCACATCATGAACACGACCCCCTCCCAACCAAACGCGTCAAGACGCTCTCCTGGGCCTTCTTAGACCAAATTCACTTGCAGCCGTTAAATCAAATTTTCGTATAAACAAACAAACACACAAAAACGATATCATGAAAAGCCACAAAACCACCAGGCAAGAATATCAAACTTGAGGAAGGGAGGGAGGGAGGGAGGGAAGGGGCAAGAGAGGGCGAAAGGAAGAAAGAAAACTTCGATTTCCCTCGTGTCATGCCCCTGCCCAACAAATCCAGTGATTTCTGTGGTTAGAAAATGCCAACACCTTCAGTTCCTGGAGTCTCACAGCAAACCCTTTTCTACAATTAGACTCTGTCTCTTTCCAAGTTTTATGTAAGGGTGGTGGCCAGTCTACAGGTGACTGAAGTCCCTGCTCTTCTGCCCTTCACCCAGGCAGGGGGCACCCAGACCGTGAGAGGAAATACAACATAAATGATGGCAGGGAAGGGTGATTTATTCTTCATTTAATGAGATAGGATCACCTATTAAGAAATTAATAGTGCCCTGCTTCTCACTGCAGCGGACGCCTCAGCTAAGGACAAAAGGTCATTTCCTTCCCCCACTCCCGGCCCCAGGATGGTTTTAGTTGACTGTTTTTGAAGATCTAAGGGTATCTCAGACTCCTACGTGAATAAAAATCACCTGAGGGGCTTGTTACAATTTGTAGGTGGCTCCCTGGACCTACCAATTAAAATTTCTGGGGATGCGGCCTGGAAGCCATGTTTTAAACAAATTCGCTAAGAAATTCTGATCCAGGGGGTTTAAGAAACTCTTTGAAAAACACTAGCTCAAAGAAGACGATAAAACTAGAATACCTGGGTGTCGGAAGCTGGCGAGCCGAGACTTCAGAGGAAAAAGACCCCTCTCCCAGTTAGAGAGCGTGGTTTTTATGACACGGGCAAGCAGGGGCCACCATGGGGTTTAAGCAGGGCTGTGACCTGCTAAACTTGCCTCTCCTTTAACCCTCAGCTCTCAGCTTATCACTGCTTCCAAGAAGGCCTTTCCCGCCCCCACCCCCAGCAGAGGTACCCGCTCCTCTGTGCATTCTAACTCGCCACTGGCCTCATGACGGGACACTGTCCACTGCCTTCTGTCATTGTTCTAATCCCCTCCCTGCCAGTAAGCTTCTGCAAGCAAGGAAGTGACCTGTGCACAGTGCCTGCCAGACAGTCGGTGTCCTATAGCTGTTTAATCAAGCAGACCATTGCATTCCATTTACAACCATGTGGTGCTGATTTTTCACACACAAATCGATTTCAGTGCCCCCCCCACCATTCCTTGCTCACATGGCCTAGAAAACTTCACCTCTAGCTAATACTGGGCCGTATTTCTAAACCCCTCATTTATCGGGCAACATTGGTTTCATAGGAATCAAAATGAAACATCAGATGCCTGGAATTCTGATGACCTTGTCAAACGGAGTTAATTCATTTACATTTTTAGGTTTCAGAAAGAACTAAAGCTCTTACAACTTCCAGAGTTCACAGGTGTAGACCACGCCCCTCAAAGGAATTTAAAGCACAGGAAAATGTACCAACAGGTAATTACAGCATGAAAGCATCTGATGTCCAGAGTCTTCTAAATCCTAAAAGCAAAACACCTGGATTATGTTCTGGCCCTCACCCTCCCCCACCTCCAGCGCCAAGCACCTGTTTCAATCTGGCCAGCACCTTCCACTTAAGGGCAAATGGAGGGAAGAGGCCAGAAGAATTTTAAATTCTGAAGTTATTTTATAAAGAAGGCAAGAAATATCCTGTGAACTCGGAGTCATAATGATGACGCGCGTGAGATCTCCCTGGGACTCCCCTTCACTCTTAGGGAGTAAAAATGATGTCAAGTGGGTGGAAACACAGCGACAAAACTTGGACTAGCTAGAGCTTTGTTCCAACTTACCTGTGGCCTCCGGTGCTCGTGCAACTGGGTCTCGTCCAAGAAGTCTGCGCCGTCGGCTTCACCCTCTAGCCTGGGTTCTTCCAGGTCGCTTTCATCACCCAAAGACAGCACTGTGCTCTAAGGACCTTCCATCAGGTCCTGGGGGCTCATGCATCCTGAGGCTTGGAGAAACCTCAGTGAGCAGCTGGGAAACCTTGGTGACGGTTTGGGGCTCCCTGGATAAGCCGCTCCCGAAGTTGCCTTCCACAGTTCCCACTCAAGGACTCCGGGTCTCCAAGGCCAAAGCCGTCACCAAGTCCATTTGCAAGTCCAGTCAGGGTGTTGGTGGGCCCTGGATTGACCCTAGCTCTGGAGGGCGAGCCTCCGCGACCCGCAACGCCAAGGGCCGGCTCCCGCCCGCGCTCCGCGTGCAGCT